TCCAAGTCAATACACAGAGTCGTCTCTTAAGTCAAAGCAAAGTTTTACTTGTAGCAAGGAGCAACATGTACAGGACAGGGTCTGAACAAGTGACTAACTAAAAGCATGACGCATTGGTTCTTATATACAGAAAACAGAAGAAAACCTCCCACAAATGTGTGTGTTTAGGCATGGTGTTTTGACTACCCGCTAAGGACATCTTCTCCTCATCGCACACTCACAAGGTGAAATAGAGGCAATGGACATTTACAGCATTCTCATTCCTTTCACAAAAATCACTGGATCATAACATAGAATTATTCTAAAACAGACGCTCCACAAAAACTGTATGGTGATGGTGAAGCAGTTTCGTCCTTTATGGGATGCTGCACTCTGAAGTTTCCTGCAGGTCAGAAGCTTTTTCTACTCATGAGGTGTGTTTCTGCTGCAGCTCTCTTACCTGCATCTCCCCTTGAGATTCTGTGGAGATGGTTTTATGGATGACGGATTCAGAATTTCACTGAAACACACCCTCAAAAGAAATATCCTGTGTTTAGGATTAATTGATGAGGGGGAGCCCTGCCCTGAGGGAGCTGAAGGAAGAAACTGGCTACAAGGGTGAAGTAGTCAGAGTCACTCCAGGTATCATCACTCCATTGTTTGCATTAGCTACTCATCGTATCTCCTGTATGTGTAGGTTCAGGGGGCAGTGGTGTGGAATCAAAAGAGGGTTTATGCTTATTTTGATCTTGAGAAAGTACAATGCAGTCTGAGAGTGTGTTTGTTGCTGTGACCGCAGTGACCTGGTCTGTCTAACTGCACCAACCAGACCGTCCTGGTCAACATCAATAGAGACGATATGGAGAACATCAACCCGAAACAGCAGCTGGGTGAGAGGACACGTCTCAGTCATGTCTTCATTCATTCATCATCACTATGCGTTTGTAGACTCACCCAGTCACACAGTGTTCACTTAAAGAGACACAACCACAAGCTCACATGTAGCACCCGAAGAAAACCCAGGCAGACACAGGAATAGAGGCGTTAATACCCAGAAGCTTCTTGCTGTGAGGCGAAGATGTGAAACACTGCAAAACTGGACTGTTGGGTTTTGATTATCATATGAGAAAATGTTTCAGAAATGTAAGGCAGTAATATTACTTTTTCTGTTTCTTTGAGCAAAAAACAGCAAGAAATGTCCAAAAAGTACATGTTCCAGCGTCTCTCATGTGTATTTGCTGTTTTTTTCCTTCATTATCTGTAATAGGAAATTAAATATCTTTTGAGTTTTGGTCTCTTGTTTGAACAAAACTAGGAAATTCTAGATTCTGCCTTTGACTCTGGGGAAATTTCATAGATTCATTCTCTACTTTTTCAATAGTTTGTAGACCAAATGAAGGATTTAATTTGGTTTATTTTATTTTTTAAAGAATTTTTTGAGCTTTGTCCATGCTGTTTCTTACTCCACTGAAACCCAAAGCTGAATCATCCAGGCTCTCATCTCTTCCTGCAGATTTTGTCTAAAGGCATTCTGGGAAATGAAGGAATGCACTTACTAACTTTGGCAACTAACCATGTGTAACAGAATAACCCTGAACTTGTGATAACGGTTGCGCAACTGTTTGTTGTGTTAACCGTCCTAACAATATGAAAGGATTTGACTCTTTTAATTCCACTGTACTGTACTGATTAAACACAGTCACTGCTGTGCCTTGAACCTCGTTGTGGTGGACATTGATGCTGTACTTTCCCTAGCAACTAGATATTGACCAATGAATAAATGTGGTATTACATTTGCTCATACTGGATTATGTGCTTCTGTTTTTCAGCAACAAGTGAGGGCAGGATAGAAGTCAGGAAATAGAGAAGGAACCTGTCTGTTAGGTTTGTAGCCTTTTGGTGTGAAGATAACCAACAAAACAAAGCAATGTGTATTACATGAAATTCAAGCAGCATTATATAGGATTTAGGCAGATTAAGTCTTAGTCCTTCTGAAAGACCTGTTTTCTTTTTTTTTTAACAAATCACCAAACTTGATCCAATCAAGAAACCTAATCTTTGGTTTTTTTACTTTTCCGATGTTCCTTGAACATGTCAGATGTGTGGTTCTGTCAGTAAAAATAACCAAATCTAAGCTTAAAATTGTGATATTTCATCAAAATCATATATAATGACAATTATAATGACATTGCTGCAGTGTAAAGTAAAAGCGAGGGGACTTGGAATCCTAAACTCAATTTGAAGAAACTTTTATTATTAAATCAATGTCATTTAGTCACCTGAACTTAAAT